AACCATTTTTGGGTGGCCCGTTCCGAGTGCGATGGTGCTGAGTCCTGTTGGAATGTCCAAGGTCTGCGACCAAAATGTTTGCGTGCCCAAGGCTTTAATATACCCTCCAGAATATTTTCGCAACAATATTCGGCATTTATTCTGATGCAACGGTCGATTAATATGAGCGGCCCACACCATCACCATAGTCGGCGCTTGAGTTCTGGTGGCCAACCAAAGGTGCACATTTTCAGCTGACCTCTTTGGCAAGTAAACACGATCATTTTGTTTGTTTACAAACTGCTGGACAACTCATCGCAGAAAATCAGATTCGGCAGTTCACCACTTTCGGCCAATCAAAGCAACACTTTAGCTCTTTTGAGTCTATTTTCTTTCTGTTGCTGTGTAAGTTCTTGCACTTTTTGGAAATTCAATGGCTTTACCCCGAGCTCATTTTTCAATATTTGCCTATATGTTCAGCTCACGAGCCATTTTTCGGCCACTGCGACGCGGGTTTCGATTCGATCAGTCGTTTCTTAACTTTTCGAACCATTTCTGCTGATGTTGCTGTTTTCTTCCGTCCACTTCCTTGACGTCGGGCTACGCTACCAGTATCACGGTAACGAGCGATGGTACGAGACACAAAAGATTTATTCACATTTAAATGCTAGAGTGCTTTAACGATAGCCAATTGTGGTTTTCCAGCCAATTATAAAGAAATCACACTAACACGCTTGAATTCCATCACGGATAACTTTTTTTTCTGGAAAATTCTCATCAAAATGCTTTTGCACCCTTTTAAACAATATAATGTGCTGTCACTGGAATAATTTTAACAGCTGTCGGACAAGTGGCTTAGAAATGACAGACGTCTGAAGTTGGTTGCAGTTTTTTCATCTCTCCCTATCTGCGAAAACGACCAATCCTTATCGGTTTCGTTGATTTATTGTAAGGGCATATGCTTTCTAAGATTTACTCAATGAAAAAAAGACGCAGTTATAAATACGTCACTGCTAAAAATGTTCCCAAAATAGTTTATGTTGGAACAACCCACTGGATGAATTGTTTTTAACAACATCTTCTCAAGAAAGCTACTCAATATAACCACCAGAAAAATTACCTTCACCCATGTCGGCCTTAAATGAGTATTATCTGATTTCAACAATTGGTTTTTGTTTGAAAATTTGAAATGATGATTTATTACAGTATCGATACGTAACAATTTTATTTTTTTTTTCAATCTTCAATAATTGGTGGTCGTTATCGACAATAATACTACGTAATAACTCGGATTATGTCAGGTGCTGACATTAAAACAAACGATTAATCAATTAGATTTCAAAATCAATTAAGTTTTATGTGTTTGAATTAAGGATAAAGTGTTTGAAGTAGAATTACTAATGCTAGGTGAATAACATTTGCCGATTATAGATTGCTCTCTCTCTCCCTCTTTTAGTGTGGATAATTATTACTAACATTCATGCGTATGAATAACGGCTAGAAAATCACTCATACGCATCTAAATACTCAACATTACAAGTTGCGCACATTCTCGTGCGTGAGTTCTCTCTAATATAGAAAATTGTATAATTAGTTGCTAGAATTGTTCAAAAACATTTGTATACCCCCACCATACTGTGGAGGGTATATTAACTTCGTCATTCCGTTTGTAATTCCTCGGAATACTCATGTTAGATTCAACATATATATTCTTGATTAGCGTAAAATTCTAAGTCTATTTATATTTATTTATAAAACACTGTAGTAATACATTACCAGAGTATCTAATTTGACATTTTAATATTTAGTCAACTAGGTTTTGGAATAGCCACCTGCTAATAGTAGACCACTAATTTTTGGTATTTCGAAGCCCCTAACCACATTTTTACCTAATTTTATTTTTTGTCTGAACCAATGGAAGAGGAGAATTTTAGCCTTTTCTAACGCTTCTCTTTTCAAAAATATTTGTTAGGTCTTCTGGGCAAGGTTTGGGTAAAAGTATCACTCAAACATGACACCTAGAATCTTCTAAGCTATATTTTTGTAAAACATTTTGATATCAAAGAGTTCGGAACGACAGAACTTAAAACAAAAACAAATAATGTCGGAAACTATCTTGTGTGATTTATTTCATCCACGAGAGCTGATTAATATTGGATCAATAATTCCAGAAATAAAGGAACGTCCACTGCTCCTTTGCCAGCAAAAATTTGATTAAATCCCATAAGAAATATAACCTTTTGAAGAATTGCATTGGCATAACTAAGACATAAAAAAATATATTAACAGGCGTAGAATCGCATATAGATCAAAGCACCCTCTTTGAACCTATTCTTTTTTCGCTCATTGTTTGATGGCTGCGTACAGTCACTTGCATTGGTAATGTTGTAACGATATTGACCATCATCACGAAAAGAGTATGGCTTAGTGGTTCTGCCACTAAGTCTGAAATAAGAAGAATTTACGACTTCTCCTCTTTGAGCGAGAGTTGGGCAGAGATGAAAAGCGATCAGCAAGATACATAAAATATACCAACGGGGCCAAAGTTCTCAAATGAAACACTCGATGCGAGACTGACCATCTCTTCGTGGTGTAAATATTTTCAGAACTAACCACACCAGAAGAGATACAGAAAATACATGCTTAATTAAATAATAATTTGCATTGTTGTAAATCTCCCCGACTGATCGCGATTTGTGTGCGGAGAGGCCAGGTGGTGGAAAGAAGAGCGAACGAGAGACAACAACATTGATTTATTCGATTTCCTCAACACCGTAGCTAATACCAATGGCTCCGTTCTCCGCTGGCTAGGCTTACAAATGCTCAACAGCATTGGCGCTCAATAAAAAGCCAGCTCCCCAGCCCTCCCGATGAAAATAGAGAGAACGAAACACAGCAACATAACAAACAAAACGCTCTCTATGCCATGGTCGGTCTGTCTGTCTGCTTGTCTCCCCATTTAAACTATGGCGAGACATAATAAATGCCAACTGTTGCCAGAGCTTAAACGAATTGCTTAAACCTTTCTATAAAGTTTCACAAACGACTCAGTTGTCTTCGAAACGGTGAACAATACGGACGTCTATAAACGGATAAAATTTAACGACGTTGACGGTGTTCACAACATTCTAAACTACAAAAACAAAAAGCAAAACCAAAACCAAAACAAAAACAAAAAAGATACAAGCGACACACAAAGCCTTCAGTTTGTTTTGTGTCATTCTTTCCCATTTCGAATGACAATTGGGAAAAGTAAATGAAAATTCATTTTCAATTTGATTTTCTTGCCGTGAACCGTGTCTATTGTTCGTAAACGAAACGAGACGCCGTCGCTGTACGTGTGGTACAGAAAAGAATTCGACTTCGTAATCAAATCTAAGAGCAAACAACCAAAGCTTGGTGGTCGCTCGGTCTGTCGGTCGGTTAGTGCGAGTAGACGCTACGGAAATTCATGGGACTTTTTCCTCCCAGTTGTTTTGTTGCATTTTTTTTTTTTTTTGTTTCTAATCTATTTCCGTTGAAGTGGTGAACAGTGGGAAATAAAAGCGAAAAAAGAAAATACATGCTAATAATAATGCCAGTTAAAACGCACACGAAGCAGCAGGCAACAACAAAGTGGCAAATGAAAAAAACACAGAAGCGACTCGTCGTCGCTCCTCCAAACCTATGTAGTCAGTTTGTCGGTCGGTCGGTCGGTTAGTCAGTGAGTCGATGCGATCGATGGATGGATGGCTGGCTGGCATGTTTAACTAATTAAATGAGCTGAGGGATTTTTGCCACACTCATTGTGTTATTGCTGCTGCTGCTACTGCCACTGGGATCTCTACAAGTATTATACATGTGTATACAAATATTGTGGCCATTGATTTGGCCAAGATTGATGGCAGAAATATTTATTTATTTTTTTGTGTTTGTTTATTTTTTGTTTTTGGCACTGGCTTTTGCCTCTTTTGTTTTCAAAGCAATTTTCGCATTGTTCAAATTAAAAAGGTTTGCCAAACCTCGCAAGCGACGAGTTTTACTTCTCCGTTTTGTTGTTTACTTTTTCAGCTTTTCTATGTTAACATTTACATACAAAGATACGAACACACTCACATGTGTACATATGTTTGGTGGTATCTTTGTGTCGTGTTGTTAAAATATGGCTAATAAACGAATTGAAAACAAATAAATCTAACATCACTGTCACTCACACACACACACACACCCATACTGGTTATATGTATGGGTGTACACAGTGTATGTTTAATATGTATACTGGGTCCCATGGTATAAATCATCTGTTCGCCGTTCCGTTCGGTAATACCCACTTACTGGGCATGTGTAAATGTATGGAGTTTTACTGTTGCCAAGGGCTTGAAAGCTGGCTAGTGGCTCTCTTGCTGCTGCCGCTGCATTGTTTGGGTCAGTATCTTGACCAAGAAAAAGAAGAAGAAACAGAAGAATCTTTACTTCTTGTAGAGTGTATTTTCTCATGTATCTCTAAGATACATTCGTACCTATGTGCCTTTCAATTGGTTGTTATTATTATCAAAAGTATTTTTGTTTTATGGCAGAATAAAAAACAAATTAAACTATTCAAAAAGTTCAAAGAAACGAAAACGGGCAACAAAACAGAATGGGTAAAGTTCCAAGTGTTCCCAAATTACTTAAAAACACAAAAACAAAATCAAATAAAAATATAAATATTGTTTTATTTTGTTATTTTCCAGTGTGAAATTGAAGTGAAAAAATATCTAATAAAAAAAGAGTGCAAAAAGTTTTAAAATTATATCACATTCACTCACATACACACACAACCATACACATAAAGCAGAATTTTTAAGTGCTCATTGTTGGTGTTGTTGTTCTTGTTGTTGCAAACATTGAAACAATTCCCTTTTTGTATCTCTCGAATTCGCTGGCCTGTGTGCGAGTGCATTTGCATTTACTTGTTTGTGTGCGCGTTTGTTTACTTGCAACAGTATTTATTTTGTCTTCTTCGTCGTCGTCGTCGTCTGCCTTCCATGCGAACAAATAAGAGAAGAACAACGGAATAAAACAAAAATAAAAGAAAACAACAGCAACAGCAGAAGCAGAAGCAGCAACAACGTTAAGAAAACGCGTTTGTCTGCAACCCAACTACCCAAATTCTTATTCATTCCTGCAAGCGACACACAAAGGTAAGTTATCTCCTCATTCGGTAAACTTTGGACTTCTCTTACATTCAGTTGTTATTGTTGTTCTCCTGGCTGAAGGTGTAAAAGGTCAACAAATAAATTTACACACACACACACGCGCTCCCACACACATTCGTTGTGAAAATTGGACTGCATGTTGGTACCTATGTAGATGATGCATCCGATCTGAAAATATTACTACGAGAGTATGAGTAATATTCCTCACCCATCGTGTCAACAAATAAGCTTGTTGTTTTCAATTCTTAACTGCCGAGTAGAATTGCCAACATTTTTTTTCGAGTTTTCATCCAAATTTAAGTTCTGGCGAAGAAAGGGAAAAAAATAGCACAGTTTAATTTTAAAATCAGATAATTCTGCAAGAGAAGAGAATTTGAAAGAGAATTTTGTCCCCAACAGTTTAAATGGGTTATATTTTCTTTAATTGTAAAATAGATGCCATAAGTTAATATTTTTTGTCGAATGCTTACCCGGGAAAATTGCATTATTTTTTCTACTGACAATGGACCATCCAGCTGGAGTTAATATGCTCGTTTAAATCTAACTATAAATTTATTGTCGTTATTTTGTGATATAGAATCGCTTCAAGGTAATCCGATAACATAGTTTTGTAGACTTAATTTGTGAATTAGAAAAATCACTAGTTTTTTTTTTGTATTTTAGTGCTGTTCTTTGACAATTAAAAATATCATTATTCAGGAATGCATTATCCTGTCGAAGAGACTTCTGCTCAGTGGCATCTATTTACATACAAAAGATACACTTTCTCAATTTTCTTTTCCTTTCTCTTAAAAAAATATTCCTTCCCTGAAGTTTGTCGATGGAATTCAACCAATTCTTTAGAAATTTGACATAGGCCAAGAATAAAAAGAAAGTAAAATATACACATTTAGAGGGTTTTCTCTTTTTATTTTCTTTATTTATTTAACTTTTATGAGACAAACGAATCACCTAAGGTTGTGTTCCACTTCACTTGGGACTTATTGAATAGAATAGAAAACGTCAAGAACTTCAATTCTGATAATGACTTCGAAAACAAAACAGGCAGAATAAAGCAGTAGTTAGAAAAAAAAAAATAAATATGAAGACATCATTAAAACACTTCCGAAACATTCATTCGCTTAGTTTACTGAGTTTATTTAATTAAGTTGCCAAACGTCAAGCGTCTGTTAATTATATACCCAAAGGCTGAAAAATGCCAGTGAAGTAAAATGTGGATCTAGACAAAAAAAAACCTAAAAAATACTTTTGTTTTCACTTTCCCCTTTTCTTTTTCACTTGTCATATAATAATTTAAATAATTATTATGTTCTTTAAACTAATTACTTCAATCAATTTGTGTGTGTGTGCTTGTGTTGAAATTATATATTTGTTTTGTCCTTTTGCATTTAGGCCAGATAAACAACTATTTTTATTACACATCTTGTTACCAATGTTTTTGTGATCGTTTTTTTTTTTATTATTATTTTTTATTATAACTTATTCATTGCGTATGTGTATGTTAAGCTTGTTGCACAAAAAACGCATAGCTTTCAACTAACTGAACTCCGTGAACTAGTTTTACAATTGTTTGATGCAGATTTGATTTAAGCTGGGTAGGTGATTCCCATTCAGGTTACAATGCCAATGAGAACTATGTGCTAAATTTAGAGAATTTATAACGGGAATGCCAAATATGGAGACATTTGTAAATTGGAGAATAACGAAGATGTTTATACCCGGGTATTAATTTTCCCTATTATCAAAAATATTGCCTCTAATATGTTTTATCGTACATGCGGAACGGTTTGTTATTCATCATACTTCAATATTAATTTTGAAACTGAAAATTTATGTTTGGAAGACTAAAAATACTACAAGATTTAAAATGAACCCGACTGAATAACCCATTAAAAGGTAATGTAGACAAATTGCCTTTTTGTATTACCAGTAGGGTGAAAATAATGAGTTGTTCCTAAAAAATACAAAATAAAATAAGATTTACCAATTAATAAGTAACGTCAACGCAGAGTGTGCTTGTCTGACTACAAGGTGAGATAAAAAACACAGTCAAACGCCATAACTTTTACTTTTTTTTTTTTTCAATTTATTGAATGAAAGCAAAAATGTCGGAAATAGCATCAAATTTTAGAATATATTTTGATTTGTTCGAATTGGTCTGCCGTATTTTGGCCCATTCCTTGCGACGCGCTTGCATGAGGTGATCGACACTTTGGTATTTTTTAGTCCCAACCTTGCTTTCCAAAATACTCAAGACACAATAGACCAACGGATTGGTATCCGGAGATTTTGGTGGTCATTGTGCGCTGGGAATGAAGCGAGGAACCTCATTTTGTAAACATTTTAAGCTGACCTCTTTGGCAAGTACGAACTGCTGGACAACGAATGTTTTCTCATCGGAGAAAACCAAATTCGGCAGTTCACCACTTTCGGTCAAGCGAAGCAACTCTTTTGAGTCTATTTTCTTTCTGTTGCGGTGTAAGTTCTTGCACTTTTTGGAATTTCAATGGCTCATTTTCAATATTGGCCGAATTGAGATATGTTCAGCTCACGAGGCATTTTTCGGCCACTGTCGCTTCTTTACTTTTCGAACCATTTCTGCTGATGTTGCTTTTTTCTTCCAGCCAAATATAAAGAAATCACACTATCACGCTTGAATTCCATTACGAATAACTTTTTTCTGAAAAATTCTCACCAAAATGCTTTTGTATGCATGTAAACAGCTGTCGGACGAGTGGCTTAGAAATGACAGCAGTCTGAAGTTGGTTGTAGTTTTTGCATCTCATCCTGTTATTTTAGTTTTGTTACCATATAACGGTACCCCCCAAGTCCATGTTCCCAACCAATATTCCCTGAAATCAATGACAATTTTTCTTCTTTCTTTGGTTTTTCCACTTAAGTAATTTAAAAAAAAAGATAGCAACAGAATTGACAAAAATGTTCCGTTATTAAGTGCCTTCTTCCAAACAAAATTATGTGTGGTATTGGTCCCAAAACTTTTACCAAGGATTAAAGGGCATTTAATTTTCTCTGAGAATAAAAGCCCGAGAAGTATTCGTAAGATAATTTTATTTACATAAAAAAGAACCCAAAACCTCAATGTGTCGCCTGAATGAAATACTCTGAAACAATCTTTTTCTCAAAATTTCTCTGGACCACAAAAACACGATATATTCATGGTTCACTGTGTGTGCATGTGTGTAAAATATGTAAATCTTCTCCCAAATGAGCTTTCGTTTTTTTTTTTTTTTTTTTGAGATTTGAAAATGTTAAATTTCCATTTAATGTGATCGCTGTCAAAATGCGGTGCCGTAATTTCACAAAATAATTGCAACGAAACAAAGCAAATCAAAATAGAAAAACAAAACTTCTGTCTCAGATGATTAGCGTTGGACAGAAATCATAAATTTGCATCGCCAAAAAGAAAAACTTTCTATTTTATTTTGCAAATCACAACCAGATGTTCGATCCTCCTCTCGTTGTTGTTCTAGTTATTGTTTCTAGTGAAACGCGGGATTTGGGTTACGATCTGTGGTTTCAACTTTTTTTTGACTTGGACGTGGATGGATAAATGAGATTGATGTATCAGTGTCGCTGTCAGTGCAAAATTGGTTAATGTGTTGGTTTATCGCTGCCGTTTGTCGGCATTTAAACATTAGCCGTATTGAGTGTGATACCGTTAGAATTCAAATTGTCTTAAATATCACTCACAATAAACCACCTGCGTGCCTGTGTGTGAGTTTTTTTTTTGTGCTTTGTATGCATACAACAAACTCCCTGTAGAGCAAACACATTTGGCTCGGCGTTCACCAGCCAACCAGACCAATCCGTTAGTAGAATCGAACAATTTTGCCCGCTTGCGGACTGGGTGGTAGTGTTCAATCTGGTCGGTGGTGATCGTCGTTAGCTTAAATTCCACGTTCAAAATGCTCATCACAATTGAATCATGAATGCGGTAATTTTGCGTGTTTTTTGTTTACTTTTTTTTTGCGTTCCATTCTTTGTTTTTTTTTTTTGTATGTATGTTTGTTTGTGCGTGTCGAAATTTTAAGGTCGACCGTTACATTACTTCCATCAATTCTGTTTTACGTAACAAATTCGGCAGCGATCTGCCAGAGTTTTTTGTGTTTGACACAGTTTTCTGCAAACGTTTTATTTTTTTTTTTTTCTGATTGGATGATGTTGCGACGTTAACTTGTGTTTGTTTGTATCGGGGGAAGGGGAAAAGAAGGTATACATTGATATTATTCTACTTCCTATATGACTGGCATGGCATACAGATCGATCAGATGATCGTATTTTCAATTCACTTACTATTTAATGATAGGCACAGTCTGGAGATGGGATATTTGGATGAAGTTTGGGGTACGACTATATACACATACATATGTATTGCATAAAATATTTGTGAAATGTTGCATTAAAATCCACCCACATTCTAATGTCCTACTTTGGGATGAAATATGGGCATTCTCATATAAATATATTTCAAATTTATTTCCGACGACTTTGCAATTGATTCCCTTGTTAGTTCTGGTGCTTGAAATTAAATGTGGGTTACTGGGTACCTCTATATGTCCAATAATGCACGATTTATATTAAAATTCCACAGCTTAATGGACAATGGCAGGAACCAAGCGGAAATATTCAAATATTTTGCGTTTTGTTTCAATAATATTCGTATTAGAATTCTAATGAGCATGAATGCCAATATTAAAGTTGAGTATCACCCTTTACGTGACATTCGTAAAATGACTAGCTACGGCTTTTGCCTTCATTGCTGTATAATTTTTCATTATTATGGTTTTTTTTTTTTCAATTATTTTAGCTATTTCAGTTGTTTTTGTGTAAGCGTTTATTGCTGTTGTTGTTGATTGATTCTCCAGAGGAGGGATATTGTACTGTGGGTTGCACAAAGTGGAGAGTTATTCGAACGTGCATTTTCCTCGTCTGACATTTACTGTGTAGTTGTAGCTCTTGACTAC